ATGTATGGATTGTGATAAGAATTGTACAAGCCCCCAATAAAATGATTACAAAAAAAGAATCTTGTGTTTAATGGCTTAAGTGCAGGCTCTGGAGAGACAAAGAAACATACCCAACATGGATCTTGTTTGGCATCTGGTTTCTTGTCCCACAAGGCGGGGCTTTCTGTGAGTCCTTATATTTGGGGCACTCAGTTGACACGGCAATAGCAGCCTACAAAACTTAATCAACTGAATGGTGCGTGAACCCTCAATGTACCTGCTTTGATCAAACCTTTGAACTATAGCATCGGTTCAAGATTTGAAGGACACAGGCACTGTGCAAGCTAATTCCTAACGACTTCCCCAAACAAAATCATCTACTATTAGAAGTGTCAATGGAGGATGTCATGGCGAACACTTATATTATGTTTACTGGATGCGAGGGTTCTCACTAATGCGATTTACTCTTCACAGCAGCCCTGTGAGGAGATAAAGGTGTGCTTTCTGATGGTCTTAGGCGACCCCTGTGAAAGGGTCGTTCGACCCCCATAGGGGTCGCGACCCACAGGTTAAGACTGCTGTCCTAGGTGCTTGCTTTGACATTTGTGAAATCTCATCTCATTTTACCAACAACACTAAGACTTGGTTATTGCAATCTCTAGTATACAAATAACCAAAGGAAAACTCATTGGCATTCAGTAGCTTGCCCAAGGTCAAACGAGTAAGTGGAAAAGGCAGAATGCAGACCTGGGCCTGTGACTCCTAAAAGCCTGTGTTCTTACCCACTTGAAAATATGTGTTCCCCTCCTCTCGTCTCCCTTCCCAGCCAGCTCTGATGAAATCACCGCCACTAAATCGCCAAAAACTAATTCATCTGTTTCTCCAGCAGAGCTGCCTGGCAAGGACTCTGCAGAACGCCTTCTTGAAGGGTGACCTTCCAGAACCCAGATTTCAATCCTGGTGCCGCTAACTGTGTGGCAGTGGGCAAAACCACTCCACTTCTGTAAGTCTCTACCTCCTCTCCTGCACTCTGGAGATACCACCACCAACTTCCCAGGATTGCTGTGGGGATTAAAAGGTCATGCACAGCACTGTGGCAAGTGTCTCGGTATTCTTAATGATCATGATAACCATGGGACTTCTCAGCATCACCAAAACAGCATGCAGTGAGCCTGGGAAAGCGGTAGAGCCCAGTCATTTTCTTCCATGGAAACTGGATCAATATTTTGGAAGGCCATAGCCTGGATACCAGTGGAGGAACTTTCTAATTAAAGGTTTTCTCTCACTTTTGAATTGTACTGTAAAATTCCAATGCTCATCTACAATGCTCATATTTGCTTTCACATATGCAACTTGTAGAACCACGCTTTCAGGAAAAAGCTACACCTCAGAATCACAGTTATTTAAAGAATTCCCTATGACCACTTTTTCAAGAAAATCTAATGAATGGTAAAATGAAGCTGTAGTGAAGATGAAAAATTCTTTACCAGCCTTATTTAAAAGCAAATAAAGAACGATGCAATGAAAAGAGCTTGTAATGAGTACTAGAAAATACATGCCCAAAATATTGGAATAAAAAAATAATTATTACTTTTTGCCCCATCAGTGGCTACTGCAAATGCATAGTCCAACTCACAGTAAATTATTGTCATATATATGTGTGTGTGTATATATATATATATACATATACACACACACACTTAATTTGCCAAGACACTCATAACATTTAATGAAGTTAACTCCTAGCAGGCAAATTTATTACGATTCATTTCATATGAATGAAGCAAATGAAGATTATTGAACAAACAGGATGCTTTTTGCCCACTAACTGCCAAATACTCCATTTGCTTAATTCTTGCCTTTATGACCAGATTCAACTGAATGTAAGGCCTTGGCTTCATGGTGCTCACTTTGCTCTGCTTTCTTTCTGACACTTCCTTTCTTTGGAATCTGCTGTCAATCTTGTGATATGCTTGGCACAGTCAAGCTCCTATCTGGCCAAGGGATGAATCAAACTTGGTGCTTTTGGCACTACCAAGTTTAATGACTTGGACTTGGGTTTGCTGAAAGGCACACAGCCAGTAAAATTTGCTAGGGGCGGGGGATATAGGAAAATTTAGCACTTACTGCTTTGAGGTCTTCATTAACATAAGTATCATTCATTATAAACTCAGGATAACCGACTTTTGCCAAAACAGCTCTTGCCTATAAAAAGAAAAGAAAAACAATAATATCACAGTTAAATCATCAATAATCATAAGCTGTACAGATGCAACCTTCCTCCAGAAACCCTGTTGACTAAATATCAACTATACACAAGCCACTGTGAAGAGGTGAAACATTTTAAGTCAGTCTCTGCCCTCAATATGCTAAAAATGTAATTAAATAAGTAAAATAACTATATACTAGATCATTGACAGCTTTACTAGGAATAAAAATATTGCTATTCAAGTCCAGAGCAATGACCAATGCTTTAGCTTCATGGAGTTGAGTAGTAGATAATAGTTAGGATTTCAACATATAGAGCGGAGAGGAAGGGCATTCCAGTAAAGGAGCAAAAGCAGGAGGACAAGCAGGTGGCTAGTTGGGTGGTGTTAGACTAGACTTACAAAGCAAAGGAAGGCAGGGAGCAGAAAAGATTGCAGGATCATTAGCTTGGAAGACACAGGGTTTCCTGACTGTCATGTTAATTAGTAGATATTTTATTTTACAAATAAAAGAGTGCTAAATATTTCTTAAAAAGCAGGGGAAAAACTCACTCACTCACTGACTCACTCTCACTCACTCAATGTCTGACTCACGGACTCTCACTCATTCACCGTCTCATTCACTCACTGCCTCACTCTCACTCTCTCACTGCCAAGAAAAGAAGAAAAAAAAGCAGGGAAAAAAGTGTGATCGTTAGGTTTGGTGTCAACTTGGCTGGGTCAGGATTCTCAGTGGTCTGGCAGTTAAAGCCTAGTAATCTTCCCTTAGGGGACCCAACAATGTTATCAACTCCATGATAGGATCTACTGTGTGTAGCCAAGCAGTTGTAAGAAGATTAGGGTAGAATGCAACCACCTCTGCTCAGGTCACAGCCTTGATGCAATGGAAAAGTGGTTTCCTGGGGGTGGGGGGTGGCCTACTCCCTATATAAACCGACACTGTGGAAAAGCTTGTTGGGGTTTTTTGGCCGAGTCTGAGTCCTACATCTCACTTGTTGACCTTTGACTCCTTGGACTTGAGCTAACTTTCTGCCATATTGCCTTGCCAATCTTGAGCCATCAGTAGCCTGCCATCTGACCTGCCAATCTTAGATTCATTGGCTTCCCACAGTCACAAGCCTGACCTGCTAACCTTGAATGTACCCGCCTCTTCAAACTGTGGTCCCCACCAATCCTGGGTTCATTAGCCCCTGAAGCTGCATGAGTCAGGAGAAGCCTCCAGCTTCACCTCTGACCCACAGACTTGAAATTAGACTGGACTTGGCCATTTCTACAACGGTGTGATCCATTTCTTTGATATAAATGTGTGTGTGCGTGCACAGTGGTTAAGCACTCAGTTGCTCACCAAATAAATTAAGTCACTATTGAGCCCCTGCCATAGAAATTCTGGTTCCACAGCCTAAAATATTGACCATCTGGCCCTTCCTGAAAATGTGGGGGGGCTTTAGGTATCAAGAGCCTTCAAGTCAGGGACTGGCAAGCTAGGGCCCTGGGTCAAATCTTGGCCACTACTACCTCTTTTTATAAATGAAGTGTTATTGGAACACAATCACACCCATGATTTCCCTATTAAATACGGCTGCTTTTAGGAGCCCTGCAGGTGCAAGGTTAAAACTCTAGACTGCGAACAGACTGATAGCCACTTTGAACCCACCACCCACTCCTCAGGCAGCCTACTGCTATGCAGATTACAGCCTGAGAAACCCTAGGTCCTAGAGAGAGTCACTCAGACTTGGCTGCAGCTCCATAGACGGGGCTGTGGGTTTGATTAAGTGAAGTAACTTTTGCACTACATGGCGGCGAGTGGAGCCATTACCACAGAAACCCTAAGGTCTACAAAGCTTCAAATATTTACTATCGTGAGGCTTCCTTAACAATGTTCAGAACTCCCTGCTCTAGAGAAACATGAGTTTTCACTTGAAATTTTCCTCACTCCCCTCCCTAGATTCTGGGTTTCACAAAAACACTGGAACCACTCCAGGGGGCAGGCAAGGTCTGCTCTGACCTAGACCTCTTTCTCACGTCACTGCGTCCCTCCCCAGCATCCAGGGCCTGTTGTTTCCTCCAGGCTAGCACTGTGGGCCTTTGGTGACCTGCCCCAGGGCTTGCAAGAGCAGTTAACCTGTGCTCAAAACCTGCCACCCCTACCACTCCAGGCAGCCCAGAGTGCACACAAGGCCTCTTCTCCACATCTGCTTCCATGAGAGACCCAGCATAAGCCACGAGGCCACTTCCGACCTACTGGTTTTATTCCTGGGAAGCAAAATCCATAAGGACCTTTGCACACTGCTCTGAGTAACGCCCCTCCCCCCTTTAGTCCCTTTCCATTTTCGCCGCTCAGGAAATAAATGGAATAAGATAGGACATTTTCCTTATCTTCCTTGAGATAATTAACATATTAAATATCAGCCCTGACTTGAAACTCCAAACTCAGAGCGGATTTTGCAAGGGCGGTAGGACACAGTCGTACTGGGCTTTGCTGTTCCAGAGATTCCACTGTAGCACAGATCAAATTCTGCCTCCCCATCCCGGGGTGTTACACACAATGAAAGCCTGATGCGACCCAGAGAGCAGGTAACTAGAGGTTACAACTCTCCCCACACCAGATACCCTTCCTATGTCCAGATGTTACCTTGTTCTGAGCCCGTTCTGTTATTGCCCTTCGTTGTATTTCATTCCTTGCTGGATTTTCTCAGCTTACCACAAGTCACACACCTAATTATAGACTATACAGAGCTTCACAGAGCCCCCCGCCCCCACCAAGAGGAAAATATATGAGCTGAGTCATCTGCAACCATTTTCTGAACTCTGGTCTTTCTGGAGCAGACTGGTGAATGATGCACTGCTTTCTCAGCCTCTCTGGGACCCTGAGTGCATTACGGACTTTCACAGAAGCCGTCACCTTCTGCACTCTATGCACAGGTCACCGCGTCCGTTTATATTATTTATTTAGCATCATCGTGTCTTGAAGGGAACGAGAACGGCAAGAAACAAAAAGCATTCCTATTCCTCACCCAAGGGCACGTGGAGAAAACAAAGTCCTAATAACAACATTGCCAACATCAGAGTAGAATACTCCTTCTTCCCAACATGTGGTAACCACGCATTCTTCTATTGAAATGCAACCACTCCTTCGGTGAAATACCAAAACAAAAACCAAACCCACTGGCATCAAGTCGATTCGGATCCCAAACTGTTCATTTTATTGGAGCGGCCATCCTCCTCGTTTCTCCCACAGAGCGGTTAGTGGGTTTGAATCACCAACCTGGCAGTTAGCTGCCTAAACCCATAGCAGCCTAACCCATAGCTAGTGTCAATTCCATGTCATCCTGCCCCCATACCCTGTCTTTCTCCGAGAAGCTTATGAAGTCCATCTCCCAAAGTCCTTTGGGGATATAACTCCAGGATCGTCTCTTTTATTGGCAATTGGTAGCTGTAAGCAGTCACAAGGGCATTTGCAGACAGCAGATCCTGGGCTGTGCCACCAGCTTCCAGGCACCCTCCTGAGACTAGCCCTTCAATGTGCCAGAAGTAAAGATCACTGGCAGCCTTTGCTCTTCTCTCGCTAGCCCTCCAATGGTGGTATATGCCTCGAAATTCCCTACATTAGACTTCTTCTGCACTTACTTTCCTTAGAAGGGCATGGGATCTATTGATCCCGCCCCCCCTTTTAAGGTAAATAATAACTTCACTTTTAAACTTTTTCAAAATGGAAGAAGGCACTTTGGAGGCTTGCTGGCTTCTTGAAGGCAAAGTATGAGCGAGGCAGACCTGAAATCACTTACCCCAGTGGTTATGGGGGCAAGAAAGAAAGGCAATTCCCCTTGAAAATACTGAGTGTAATCAGTATGTGAGGGGCTTCAAAAAGTTTGTGGGGAAAATGGAATTAAAGAATGAAAAAATTTCCACAAACTTTTCAAAGCTTCCTTGAATAACGGACTGCACACTATAGACTACCATCAATATTTCCTATCCTTCTTGCGGCAGATCAAAAATACCAGATTTTTCCATATCCAGAACAGAGGTTTCCACACTTTATTCACACAGGCACCTGGTGGGCAGCTGCAACCGGACCTCTGTCTTGCAGCCCGGCTATGTACAGGTTAGCTGGGTCAACTGATTATGGGCAACGTAGTTCATTTTCATTTTTCTGAAGCAAAGTGTCCATTGTCTATCCAACATTCAGTCTGCTTTGTTCTCTATAATGACCTATGTTCCGCTCAGGCATGACAGTGGAAGCAACATCAAAAAAAAAACCAAAACAGACACCTGGCTGCATTGCCCAGCCTCCTTTACAGTTGAAGTTGGCGATGGGATGAGATTTGGGCCGATGTAAATAAAAGTACTGTTGCACTTGCAGGTCTCCTCAATAAAAGAGGAAAGAAACATTCTACTGTGATTTCTGCCTTTAGTCCAGGGTTTCTCAACATCAACACAACTGACATTTGGGGCCAGACAATGAATTCTTCATCATGGGGTGGAGGCTTTGTTCTGACAATTGTAGGATGTTCAGAAGCATCTTTGGCTTCTACCCACTAGATGCCAGTACCAAGCAAGCCCTCTCCAGCTGTTGACAACCCAAAATTGCCCATAACCCCTGGAAGCAAACCTGCCCAAGGGAGACTAATTGCCTTAAGTCTTTCTTCTTCCTGCCTTCCTGGAATGCGGACAAGGCCACACATGCAAGGCAGAATACCACATGCTAAATACCACATGCTAAAGATGCAAGTATCAAAAACTGATAGCATCTGGAGCCCACCATGTCAGGCCTGATGGTCTCTGTTCCCTCCGTGATATAAAACAATCCCCTTGTGTTTGTTTGAGACATTACAGGTCATATTTTCATGAGTTGTAACCAAATGTAATCCTCACATAGTCTCCTCTTCATCCAATGGAAATTGAAAGACAAAAAAAATACATCTTTCCTATGGTTGACTGACTGTGAAGATTCAAGGTGAGCTAGCATGTAAAACTTTGTGTGTCTGGTCCACCAAAGCC